TCACCAGGGCAGTGCAGCAGGGCAGGGTGCCCAAGCCTGCAGTAGGAAGCCCATGCCTGCCCCCACCCCAGCCACAAATCTGCCCTGCCCCTTTGGGAGTGAGCACAGCCACAGGGAGCCAGCTGCCCCCCTTCCCCCATTCCGCTCCCTACTGGGGCCCTGTGGCCACACACTGCAGCCCTGGGCCCCAAGACACATACCCCCCAACTGGGCAGCAGCAGCCCCAGCCCTGCCCTTCCCAATTCACTCCCTCCCTCCCTATGAGGGCTTCAGTCCCTGCCCCCTGCCAGACTTGCCTGCAGAAGCTGCTCTCCAGGCTGCCTGGTGACAATGTGCATATACATGCACATGGCACCCCTGCCTAACCAACCTCCTCCTGCTCCCACCTGCCTTCCCAGCCCCTTGTAGGCTGCAACTCTGCCAGCCTGCAGAGAGCTCTTTACAAAAGTGCAACATCTGTTGGTTTCTCCATTAAAATGAGAAATCCACATTTTCCTCTGGTAAATCCACATTTTTCTCCATGTTTCCATGGGAAACAGAAAACCTGGATCGCTGCTGATTACTCTCTTTGAGTACAATTTTTCATTCACTTGCAAATAGACATAGTTGACGCAACCTTGCATTAGAGCACAAACTGCCAGAGGATCAAGGTAAATTAAAAGGCTTTTTTTCTTCCTCACCCCATACTTCAAATATTTCCATAACAAAACAATTAACTTTTTTCCACTTTGGATTCCCCTTCTCCCCATGTATCGTAATTATCCTACAGCATAAAAAAAAAGTTTTACACAAAAGAACTAAGATGAAAAAAATATACAGAATTTTTGCAACTTAACTAGAGATGGCATCTATCAATTCTACAATAAAATTGCCAAAATATTTGTAGCTATTTGGAAACACACATACACACTCTGTCTGAAAACATTTTATTATAAATGTTTTTAATAAAGCCTAAGAAACGTGAAGCTGAAATTTACCTGAAAACATGTCCCTAGCCCATAAATGCCTATTGCACGTTATTAGTGTTGCTCATGGAAGCAACACAAAAAAATAGCACTAGCAAATCACATTAGCAGCCATGTAGAACTTGAAATAAGATGTACTAAAGATAAAATTTTGTTCCAAATGATGTATACATTTTTAAAAACTAGTTAGAGAAGACATTAACTGCCCTACAAATTATTCAAATTGGGGAGGGGAGGGTCCATCAGTCCTTATTGACAAGTTTAAGCATTTTTCATCACTTCTGAAATAAATCAACAGTAAGTCACTTGTGTATGTATAGGTCTACCTCGTTAATATCTGTACCAGCAAGCAAATAAAGATCTGTCTAAATCCTGTATAAATTCAAAGTGATTCTATGGCTTCAAGGAATGAGGTCAGATTTACAATAGTGTAACAAAGCAGAAGTTAGTCTGTTGTCTTCAATAGTATGAAATAATAATGTAGACCAATCTAAACGAAAGAGAGTTTGTATAAAACTTACCGCTTCACCCTTTTGATGCTGCCCTGAAACAACTCTTTCATTCTTTCTTCTATTTTGTTCAGTATCTGTAAAAAGTATAAAAAAGACTTAGCTTGTAGAGACTAGAAAGGTACTTTCCACCCATGAAGCATCATTTAAACTGCTGTGGTAAAGAGAGATGTATTAAACTGTGCCTTTCACTCCTAAGTTACCAACACAGATGCTGTTCTTATGAGGTCAGTGTAAAAAATGGTAATGGTTGCTGCCCAGATCCTAGCAAATCATTTATTAAAAAAGATAATTAATTCTCCATGTCAGGGTTAAGAAATAGCAGCATATGGAAATAGCAGCATATGGAAATTCTCTCTTCTACTAACAGGATTGCACACATTTGTTGAAGAAACTACTGACTTCTGTCTATGGCTCTGCCAACCCAGCTCATATCACAAGCAATAGTTCCATAAAGAATGTGCCTGAAATTAGTATGTTCAAGGTATATGGCAGCTATGAATTATTTTGGGTTTTTTTGTGTTGATTTTTAAAGAAATAGCTTTGGGTTAAAGCAATAGATTTTGGTTAACTAAAATGTCAAGCATTCCAAGTACACATGCTATTGAGACAGAACAAAAGCATCAGGAGCTTGGAGTCATCTGACTAGCGGACAATGATGACAACGTGCATCCTGTTCCTCCTTGTGCTCCTGTGTGAGGGCACCACGGCAGAGTAACCAAGACGTTCAGTTCAGTCACCAATTCAAAACCTATGTTATGGAGGACTTAAAAAAACAGGGATGAAGGACAGATTATGGGACCCACACTGACTATACTAACATCTCAAATGACCACGCAGTTCATAAACAAGCATGACCATTTTTCTTCAAGTAACTCGATGTGAATCCCAGTCTAGGGGCACGTCTACACAGGATGCTTTAGAAGAGCTAATTACTGCATAGTAAGTGTCACTGTTTACAGGTGCTGACTGTTATGGCGCAGTAATTTCCATTGCTCAGCAGTTAATTGGCTACATGTAAATGCAAGTAGCAAATTAACTGCTGAGTAATAAATTACTGTGCAGTATGGCACACGTAGATGGCCGACTGGGAGCAAATTTGCTCCCTGTCAGCTGGACAGCAGGGGGCAGGAGATTGGTTCCTATCCTGGGGAGCTCCCTGCTGTCAAGGCGGGCTCCACCACCATAGCCCAGGAGGAGAGAATGTCCCTCTGCCCCAGCAGGGACTGGAAACAGGTTGGGAGATTGTTCCCAGCCCCAGTTCCACGATGGTGGAGCAGGAGTTGAGAGCATGTTCCCAGCAAGCTCCCAGCCTGTTCCGCGATTGCAGAGTGGGGATTGGGAGCTTCCTGCATGGGGAGAATTCCCTACCGAGACTGGAGCTAGCTGGGACCTGCCCCTGACCGGGACAGTTCCCAGCCAGCCTTGAACCGTGCAGGGAAATCTGCACATGCAGCCTGGAGGTGGCTGGGGACTATCCTACTTCAGGCAAGGAAAGGCACAGGAGGAGACAGGGAATGCATGCATGACCCCAACAAAGACTACTCTTCTTAACTCGCATGCCTTAGGCGCACACACATATACCCACAGCAGATTTCCAAAACAATAGATTCAAATCAGCAGCTAGCATTTCTCCTGTACAGTTTTCTTGAGCTAAAATAAAAGAGGTATATAGTTACATGATCAATTTTGTCTCTTCCTTTCATATCATCGTTGTAGCTCTGCAGATCCACTGACACTAATCCATGAGGGTAAATTCTCAGCGTGGCAAAACTGCAAAACCAAAGAAGTATTTGTTATCTATTAGGATTGTGTTTATTAACAGAACTGGACTCTAGCAGGAGGAAAAACTGGAACTCCATGTTAAAGTCAAAATGCTTGTTTATTTTCGTAATATTTATTTTTTTGCAATAATGTCAACAATTACTTTTCCAACTCTTATTTTTCAAGAAATCACTGCAAAACAAGAGAAGAATTGCAAAGGCATGCCAGGAACTAATAGTCAGCAAATGGTACCCTTTGTAAGAAAGGGTGCTAAACCTCCGAACCGCTATAAAAAGAGCCAGATTTTTAAAGCAAAAACAAACTTCAGGAAACGATTACATTCCCTACCCTTCCAAAATCAGAAAGCTTATACAATAATCTCAACCAACATTTTCACGTTCAAAGATTAACAGCAATTCAAAAAGAAAAATGTTTTCATGATGTAAGACTGGGCAACTATAATTACTCTCTACATTTATTACAGTAGTGTTTAAGAATCAACCAAGAATGGAACTCTATTGCACTAGGCACTGTATAAACACAGTACTAGACAGTAGGCCTGTACAAAGCTTCAAGTGCCGATTCAATTCGGAGAAGATTTGGCCCAGTTTGGTGGCCGAATCTCTGAACTGAATCGGGAGACCAATAAAAAGGTCCGAATAGATTTGAAGCTCTCCGAATAGATTCAGAAAAGATTCAGAGACTTTGGGGATTCAGGCAGTCCCCACTCACCGCCGCAGGGAGCTGGACCCAGACTCCTGCTGGTAAGCAGGGAGGAGGGGGACTGAAGGTGGTGGGAGGGGACCACTGGGGGACCCCTACCAGGCCCTGACCCCTACCTGCTCCCCCGAGTGCTCCCCTAGCCCCTCCCTATGGCTACCCTGCCCACCCCAGCTCTTTAAAAAAAAAAGCCCCGCACTCACCAGCTGCTGTAGCAGCCATCGGGGCTTCTGGGGGCTCATGGCAGAGCCCCCCATGCAGCACAGGGCAGTGGGGATTGCCCCTTCTGGCAGGAGCCCGTGAATATGGAGTTTCTGTTTGTTTTTGGTTCTTTAAGAGCCAAGGCACTGGGGCTGGGTGGGGCAGCAATGGACGGGGCTGGGAGAGCAGGTGTGTGTTGGGGCCTGTTTGATTTGGAGATTCAGCGGCGGTCAAATCTCCAAAATCATATTTGGCCGAACTGATTCAGGACAGTGATTTAAAATCACCAAACTGAATCACTGCCCCCAAATCCGCCAAGTCCGAATCCAAAGCGAATACTAGCTGCTTCACACACGCCTAGTAGACAGCCCATGCCTCATAGAGGTTACAAAAGAAAAAAACACAGGGTTGGGGGGGAGGAGGGGGCTGAAAGAAAACAACAGCGCTAGCAGCAAATGTCATGTTAGTTCCATATTTCTTTTTCTTAGATGGATTTATTTAGGAAGGAAGAAAAAAAAAAAAGGAAGAGAAAAGGGGTCTGATTAAGAAAAGGTAGGTTAAACTAAGTTAAGAGGGACAGGTATGGAATGAAGCCATGGTACACAGCTGGAAGAAGGAAGGGGCAGGAGAGAATGTCCAAGGAAACCTGCATAAAGTTGGCTGGAAAAGTCCCATCTTTGGCAGTCTCTACCACTGCTCCTACTGGCTGAAGTCTCTGGACAATATGCCTGAACACTAAGGAAAAACACTTTCATTTATTTATCATGCAGTTTTTTGTTCCCCCCCTCTCTAAGGCAAAAGAGAAGGAAGGCCTTTAAGAGATGGTCAATGCAAGATCATGCCAGACTCTATTTTGGAAGACAAGGAGTTTGTATACAGCATATCAAACACTTTTCTTTTATAAAATACATTTCAATAATATGCAGATTTAGTTTTCCCTCTGACCCAGATGGTTTCAAGAAGTCTAACTAGTTTCTTTTCCCTTACGGTTAATTAAGAGATATATGACCAATAAAACCCATTAAAACCATGACTTAGCAAAGCCAAGGACCAGTATTCTTCCTTGTACTATCTACAAAATTAATTCTGCATATCCCATAACTTGTAAATAAGCACTAATACAAATCTTTCTTTGGAATTGTTCCAGCCAGGATTAGACAGGACCAATTGGTTTTAAAATGCCTAGGGTACATCTTTCCTGAAAGCAGGGACTGTGAGCACTCTTACATTATGCATTAAAAAAAAATAATAATAGGAAAGGCAAAAGAAAAAAAGAAAGGAAGGAAGGCTTGTGAGGGTTCCTAAAAAATGTTCCGTCTCGGGATTCACCTATTGTAATGCTTTGTCTATACATACACATAATGAGTACATACACCTACCTTTAACTCTTGGATGTTTCTTTAGCTAAGTAGGGCAAGAATCCTGAATTCAGCAGAAATATTTAAGCATTTTATACTCCCTTAGTCCACTGTACCTGCACAGCAGATGTAGCTAATTTGTTTTTAATTACACAGATGTTTCCCAAATATAATTTTTGAGTCCCTTAAACATCACCAAGTAGCTGGCTGATGATGAACTCTGCTCCTCCTCAAGTGTGTGCAAGTCTTAGTATCTTTGCAATTTTTGTTACCAGAGAAGCTACAGTACCATACACCCTCATTTTACAGAACTATGAATCAGTAAGAGTAGGATAGAGTGTTTTTTGGTTTTTGAGGGACGTAGCTAGGACCTACCTAAAGAGAAAAAAAAAAAAGAAGGCAACTAGATTGCTAAACTAGTTCTGGTATAGTCAAGTCTTCAGTCCATGGGAGATGACTCTCTCAGACTGAAAATTTTTTTATATAAAATAAAAATAAATTACTTCAGCTAAGTAGCTAGAGCGGGTCAAAAAGTTATAGGCAAGTTGACTGATGTGACAAGGAAGAAAAAAAGGCTTTAAAATATCTACCACTTACCCCTGTTCTTCCCCACATCTTTCCAGACAAGCTCAACTGCCTGCCAACACTGTGTGTGTGTGTGTGCGTGCGCGCGTGTGCGCGTCCCTGAAAGTACCTTCAGCATTTCTTCTGAGTGTTTCTTAAATAGCTCTGTACTCAAAAAAAAATTTTTTTAATTAAAAAAAGGTGGCAAACAAAAGAGTAATGCACAGTATAACCCCTCTGGTACATGAAGAGATTTAGTTATAAAGAAATATGCTTGCTTAAACATGTTACATATAGGTAGGCTTGGCAGGATTCCATTTTTTAAATTGGTAAAGTTTATTAAACATCAATTTCATCTCACACTTGGACTGACAAAAAAGTATTTCCATCTGTAATAATCAAAATTTACAGACATAAGAAATACAACAGCTGATGGAGTATGTGACGACAGGGGGAGCAGTCCTACAGAACCATGCTGACTAGTTTGGACTAAATCCCAGAAACCCCAGGGGACTGGGAACAAAGGAAGAGGAAGTGACAAAGTGGATGAGGGAGTTAGGGGTGAGTGGAGCTGGGACTGATGGCAGCTCTGCTGGTTGCAGTCCTACAGTAGTCCTACATTTGTCGCAGCAGAAGTCAAATTGTTCTATAGTAATAGTACAATATTAATAAATTATCTGCCCCCCGCAATTTCATGCAATCCTGAAAATTTAAATGGATAGAAATCTAAATAAATGCTTAACAATGAACAAACATTGATACTATCCATCTACGTTAAATTATTAAAAAATATAAATCAAATTCTGCCAAGCCTAGTTTTAGGCTACCTCTGTAGGTTCATACAATGCCTTCAGCCCAAGAAGCAGATACTTCAAGTCACTGGCAACACTTTCATTAAAGTCAATGAACTCGTACCAGTCCCTAGGTCCAGCTATGCTGTTAAGCAGAAGGCAGGTCAGAATGGTATCTTAGAGACTACATGGTACAGAGTGGTATCAGCTTTATTAGGCAACAGCCTCTACTTCTCTCTCTGGTGTTAAGGAGAAAGTAATATTTTCATTTCACTAGATGGCACTCTTGCACTCTGAACTAAATGCATGTTTCTGCACAGTGCCAAAGACTGCTGCACTATTACAGGTAACATTTTATCATATTATACATATATTGCAAGAATGGGAGTTATTTAACCTCTCTCAGATCAGTTACTCAATTGGGTAAACCCTAACCACAAACTAAATTTCCCCTTTAACTTTAGCTTCCTCTCCTAAGCCTTTTATATTAAATCACTGTATTCAAGAGCTGTCAGGTTTCTCCTCCAAATGGGAAAGCATTTCAAAGTTGGATGATATGCTCCCTCTGCACGTACATACACTGTTTATAATATTCTTTAGCATTCTTTCTTTAAAAAAGTAATATGATAAAAATATAAGGCTATTTTACAGGAAGTATAAGAATACAGAGCAGACACACTTCTACACTGATTTGGATTTTATCTATTTGTTATTTTTAATGTCAAAATAGAATCCTCATGCCAACAGATTACTGGTGTACTCTCATCTCTTCCACAAACTGGAACTGGTACAAAGGCCTATAATTCCCTTTTTTTGGACCTTTTGAAAACACAAAAGTATACTAGTTCAACTAAAAACAGCTTTTAAAAATCTACTTTGCTAAACTGATAGAAGCCCTTGATTGTTATTGTTTTCAAAAAGGCTTATTTAACAAAACAGAGCCAAATCCAAATTAAATGGGATGTTGTTGTGATCCACTTCAGCTAAAGTTCATCCTTCCTTCTCTGACAAATTTTTTCTCCTAACAATTTTCCTAAGTAGCTAACCAGCTTTGCTTATCTTAGCCACTTAACATCTAGTGAAAATACTTTTCACAGTTTGCAGGAGAAATTGCAGAGATGTCCTATGCAGGTGGTATGCGTGCCAAAACAGCAAGAGGTAGCTCAGGCTGCAGGTCAACTTGGGAGTTGTTGCTATTAAAAGCTGCCCTGTTACCTTAAAAAGCTAGGATTACCCGAGTAGGATTATTTCTTTTATGCCAAGGCTACAGAGAAAGAAACAACTTTTTTTGCTAGTTCTAGGTTAGATCTACTTTTAAACAGTGAACCAAGCAGAAGATGAGAGGTGACTCAAAAGAGCTAGATATCTCAAGTAA